ATTCTTAAAGATTATTGTCAGTGGTTCTGATATTACTTCTGCCACTTCTTTTAATACCCTTGGATGTAATTCATCTGGCCCTGGAGAAATTGAGTTCATTTATTATAACCAGCTATATCCTCTAGCTATTCTGTGCTGCAGTTCCCTACTGCATTATCTGCTTCATTTTCCCCAGGTTGAGTACTGTTCTCCTTTTGTGAGAAGGCTAAGGCAAAGTAGGTTTGAGTAGCATTGGCAAGCTGCTTCTCCCTCCCTCTGTACACAAGCAGACAGAATGAACCCAAAGTCAAACAGTGGTTGAGGAGATGGAGCAGACTTTTGTGCTCTGGAGTGGGAACCTTGCAGAAGGAGGTACTGGATACATCCTTCTACAAGGTCAGAAACTACAAACCTCCCAGTTATGCCTGTGTGTGTTACCAACAGGATGCTACCCATAATCTGAGTGGGAAAAACAAATGTAGGCACTACCTGCTTGATAGAATGCATTTCTTTTCAAGTTCTTGTAAAAGATGGCTGATTAGTAACAGAGTATGATGATGATGGACTGAGGTGCTCCATTTTTCTTTTTGTTTCTCAAGGGAGTGTGGATGTGTGCAGCTGATGCAGATAAGCAAATCTCTGTAACACTTCATTCATGCTGGAATATATTTATTGCATCTGGTGAAATATCATTTGTAGCAACCATCCATACTGATGTGTCCTCTGAAAATAAAATGAAGTTAGTTTGAAGCCTTTTTCAAAATTAGAGATTGAAGCTCGTTATTTTAGCTGAATATGAATAACATTGCCTAGCCAGACTGCTAATAAGGTCAGTTTTATCAAACTAATAATATCAGCTCACAGAACATAGCCTGACAGTTTCATTTTGACCAAAAGAAAAAAGAAAACAGTAAAGGGTACTGTCTAAAGCATATTGAAGACAGTAAAAGAAAATGAAATGGATTTTGACAGGTCAGGATTGTACCCTGTCATCTTTTCATTGCTCAAATGCATTTTTGTTTTGTGACATCAACACCCAAATGGTGCAAATGGATGAATTGGAGAATGTGCACTTGAAACACAAACTGTAGAAAGGATATAAATATCTTTTAGGGTGACTTAAAAAAAAAAAGCAGGGTTATTTATTTAGCAATATTTTCTTCAGATGCACATACTCTGTGTGGAAAGCCTAATCCTGCTTTTAATTTTTTAGACCCACTCAGAAGGGCTTTTAGACACCATGTCATAAATTTCTTGCTTAAACTGTGTCGTGATGGATTTAGTCCCTGATGTAAAGACATGCTTGAATGATGAGGGCAAGTAAGCACCATGGCTTCACTGATGATTTAGGATTTGCTAGCTTTTATATGGAATGAGAGGGAAAGCTGGCCTGGTGTCAGCAGTCATTACAAATTGTCTGGGATGTGCTTTCCCACCATAGTGGCACCTGCGAGATTGCTTAGTAACTAGATTACTATGAAAACAGACGTTTCCAGTGAAATGAGTTATGCAGCTCAACAACCATAACAATATGCAGACTACCCAAGCTGGAGTTGCAGATTCAGCAATATTATATTTTTAGTGGTATGAATATTTACATAAGTGCAGGGTTAGCTAGAGAAGCAGGACTTCCAGTGGAGAATACAAAAATGAAATAAAATCTTTTTAAAAGAACTTCCACTAGACTGCTTGCTTTCATCCTACTTTTTCATTAATGTTTGCAGTGTTGACTGCTGGTAGATGTGTGCAGTGCTGTAGGGTTGCCAATTGTCCTTTTAACAGTTGTGTAGGAGAGGGAATTTCAGCAGGTTTATTTATGATGCCATTGTTGTGTATCTTCAAATCATTTACGACTTATGATAACCATAAGGTTTTCTTGGCAAGATTTGTTCAGAGGAGGTTGCCATTGCCTTCCCCTGATACTGAGAAGATGTGACTTGCCTGAAGTCACACAATGGGTTTCATGTCTGAGCTGGAAATCAAACCCTGGTGTCCAAAGTCATAGATTTAGTCCCTGTTATAAAGATTAGTTATAAAGACTACTGCTCTAAGCTGTAAACTGAGTAGGAAAAGACAGAAGGCATGGATCAGGAGTGGTAAGCACCATACTTACAGATCCTTTAGAGGGACAGAAACCTTCTCCCTCATATCACCTGGTAATTTGCAGATATTAGTTCATGAAGAATATTCCTCACAGGAAGTGCATGGTTCAGTGGTTTGAGCTATGGACTATGACTCTGGAGATCAGGGTTTGAATCCCCACTTGGCCATGAAAATCTATTGGATGAACTTTGGCAAGTCACAGTCTCTTAGCCTCAGAGATGGCAAACCTCTCTGAAAAAACCTGCCAAGAAAACCCCAAGCCTTAGGGTTGCCATAAGTAGGAAATTACTTGAAGGCAAACAACAACAACAACAAACAATAAATTAAAGGTAAGCGTATACTGTGTGAGCCACCATGGTTAGTAGTCTGCATGTTAAATTCTGGATTGCCAGGATTTGAATCTGCTTTCAGCCATGGAAAACCAATGATTGACTTTGGGCAAATCACAGCCTTAAAGGAAGTTAATAGCAACTCCTCGCTGAATAAAACATGCCCAGAAAACCCTATGACCACAAATTGGAATGAGATGCACATAACAACAGGGATACACATAAGAATTGGGTCATTCGGATATATATATGGTTTATGAAAATAAAGGACAGGAAATCATTGTTCATATCCATCTTCCTGTCTTTAAATCCTATGTTTTGTTTAAAGCCCATTTAAAGCCTGTTCCATGAAATGCCAGATCTGGCCTCATTGGTACATGCCTTAGTAACATCCCATTTGGACTATTGTAACATGCTCTATTTGGGGCTGCCTTTGAAGATTGTTCAGAAACTTCCACTGGTCCACAGAGCTTCAGCCAGATTGTTAACAGGCTGGTTACAGAGACACACAACGCCCCTGTTGAAACAGTTTTACTGGCTTCCAGTTTGCTTCCTGACACAATTCAAAGTCTCTATGGCTAAAGTTCAGGCTATTTGGCAGACTGTATCTCTGTACCCTTTTATAAACTGTGTCTCCCTTTATAGACTATAGCAAAGCCTTTGACTACATAGATCATGAAAGGAGTGCCAACACAGTTGATAGTCTTGATGAGGGATCTGTACTCAGGACAAGAGGCTACTGTCAGAACAAAACATGGAGAACCAGAATGGTTCTCAATTGGCAAAGGAGTCAGACAGGGCTGCATCCTTTCCTCCTATCTGTTCAACTTGTATACAGAACATACTATAAGAAAAGCAGGCTTGGACACAGAAGAAGTGGGAGCAAAAATAAAAGGAAGGAATTTGCAGATGACACCATAGTACTAGCAGAAAATGTCACAGACCTGGAACACCT